CCCTACACATTCTCTCACCGTCTTGCTCAGTGCTTAATATCCTGCGTTCTATCTGCACCCCGTCCAGGTTGATGACAAAGCATGCAAGAGGACCGAGAAAAGACTCATTGTGTCGCATCAATGCCGTGTTGGCAAAGCTCATGGGGGGGAAATCTGACATTCCCATTTTAATCAATGCAGAGTGAAGCACTGGTGCTTGGTGAGCTGGAGTGGGAGGGAGTAGGTGGGCTCTGTTAATACAGAGTAGGACCATTACTACCTGAAAGAAGCAGCCCTTGTCCTAATTAGCTCAAAAAGTAGATTCTGAATCAGAATCTCGGCTGAAGATTGTGAGGCGTGAAAGAAAGGAACTCATCTCAATGGTCCTGTCAATGGTGGCCTTGTTTGGCGTGAAGACGAGGGAGGCAGAACGAGAGACGGAGTGAGAAAGACACAAAGAAAAGAGAAAGAAAGACCACTTACAGCCTACTATTCTGTAGATTTTTTGTGCGAGGCCTATGGCATAATGGCCTTAGAACAACCTGTCAGAAGCTTGTCTAGACTGAAACTGCTTCAGATAAATATTAATGGGGAGAGGAGGAAAAAAAAAATGCGAGAGGTCGGGGGTGTGCCAGTGTGAGATAAGTGAAGTGAGAAGGGACAGCTTATCAGCTTTCATCCTTGGTAGCTGTGACTTGACAGGGGGTGACAGTTGATTCAAAGCTAATCAAATGAGTTGGTGCCATATTACAGATATTTTTTTATTTTTGTTGGTTTAGACTGAAATGCATTTTATTCCTGTGTTAGGGAGGCGGCTCTATGCTGGTGTTTCCACTCACTCTGCTGCTGCATTCAAGACACTGCACAAGTAAATCTAACGTTTCAGCTCCTTCATCAGACAGTGACATGGATTATAGACCATTAAACACCTCCCTGTGCAGATGAACAGATGTCAAGTGAAGTGCAGACAGAAAGAGAACAGCTAGATACCTGTTGGCAATACAACACTTAAACAGATGAAAGGCTAAATATGCAGAATTCACTCGTAATTACAATCTGAAAATTGGCTAAAACAAGATTTTTCTGTTGCAAGCTTTTACTCTCAGCAATCACACGTGTTTGCACATGTTATTCACTATTCATTTCAAAACAAGTTTTGCTGATTACACTGTGGGAGGAGTAATTTGCAATGCTGATTTTACTTGAAAATATTGAAAACACCTAAATACCTCGCCGGCCTGATTTAGTTTGAATTACCGTGTTACTGTAAATGAACAGTCACTTCTTATTATTTTGCCAATATTTTCATGACAAACATTGTTAGAAGACACACCACAGCTCAACACTGCTGCCAGATTCTTTGTTACATGGTTTCCAGTTTGGCTGGTTTGAGGGCTCTTCTATTTTGGTGCAACAATAGAATTTATTAAATCATATTAGGGTTATTTAATTTAAGGGTAATATGACATCTGTAGTACATTGTAATGCTAACACGTCCCCATCAGAGACTCTCTGACTGACACACAATAGCCGGTTTTATTTTCTTGTCTTGAAACTACATTTATGCCAATCAATACCAGCTAACTTTAACCACAGAGAGCATAATTTACACTCCAAATTACACTTGATTTGATGTCAGGTATCAACATGTAAATGACCTCAGCTGCTATTATTCCTTAGTGAAGCAGAAAAGTACCTGACGGCTCCCGCTGAGCTCAGTGAATTTTTGTAATTTATGTAATCCAAGGAGTAAATGAGGACTAACTCTATCTAAACTGGAAACAAATACGAGAACAGCTATTGCTGCTGCTGTTACAATTCTAGAAGATATTCCAATTACACCAACTCAGTTTTGTAAAATAAACTGCGACCACTCTATCCTTTACTGTAGGACTTCATCCGTAGTGATGCTTAGCTCTAATCATCTGACCTGACCAGGGTTGACCTCATGACCCATTTAGGCTGATCAGGGTGCATCATGTAGGTTATTTATGTTGGGAAACATTTTGGACAGTTTTCTTTTCCTCTCCCTGCTCTTTGACTGATGATGTCTATCTACCACAAAGCCCTTTTTAAAATAACTTTCTAGCTGCCTAACTCTTGATTTTAAGGCTTCTGCTTATCCTCATTCTTAATAAATGAATCACTTTAAGGTAAAAACTAACTAACCTGCAGTATATCATTTTTGTAATGTCATCATAACATACTCACAGTGATGGAATGTAACTAAGTATAATTACTCAATACTGTACCTAAGTACTAGTATATAGGTTGTGTACGTATTTATTGTATATTTCATGCTACTTTACATTTAGTCATTTTTGCACTTATTTGACCCAGATATCTTGTAGTTACTTTTTAGATTTTGAACTTTTTTTTTTCTTTTTTTAAAGTTATTTTTTGGCCTTTGTGCCTTCTATTGATAGTTCAATGAGAGAGAGAGAGACAGGAAAGCAGGGGAGAAGAATGGGGGAAGGACATGTGGGAAAGGGTCATGAGCGGGAATCAGACCCATGTCCTCCACATTGGGACTGTAGCCCTGCACATGGGAAGCCAGCTCAACCAGGTGAACTATAGCGGCACCCCAGATTTTTAACATTTTTGATCTGATTTTCTCAGATTTGTGATCACGCCATTAAAAAAAATCCATTGTTACAGTTAAAATCTGTTGTTTTTTTGCAGCAGCCTCTAACTGTAGCCTGTTGTCGCAAAAATCATTGGTCGTCAACAGCTTCACTAAAAAGTGACCTTTCATCTAAGTTGAAGTATTAAAAAATATCCAACAAAATCACACTCTATAAACATATAGGTGTTCTGATATGTCTGGTGATGCATTGGAGGGGCCTGTATTGATATTGGGGACCAATAAAAATTAGCTAGAACTAGCTCCATCTGTTAAATGCTGGCGACACATCAATGTACCACAACATTAAAACCACCTTTTTAAAAAAATATTGTCTAGGTCCCTCTTGTGCTGCCAAAACAGCTCCGACCCAAAGACACCAGACCTCTGGGGGATATCTGTGGCTGACACCGGGACGTTGGCAGCAGATCCTTTGGGTCCTGTGGTTTGCAGAGTGGGGCCTCTGCGGATCGCAGTTTATCCCATGATTGCTCGATATGACTGTAATCTGGGGAGATTTGAGGCTGGGTCAACACCTTGTGCTCTTTGTCGAGCTCCTGAGCTGTTTGCAGCGGGACGCGTTGTCCTGCGGGGAGAAAACTGCTGCAGCAGAGGGAGTGCTGCTGCCACAAGGGAGCAGACTGTTTGGTCTGCGACAACGTCCAGGATGTGTCGGAGTAACATCCACATGAATGCCAGGATGGAACTTCATTGTGATGAGCTGATCAATGATGTGCACTTCACCTGTCAGTGGCTTTAATGTGGTGGCTGCCAATAATGTATTGATCAGAGGGGACAAGTTGCTGCTGAATGATTTTGAGACTTAAGGCCAGCTTTTGGTATGACCTTCACACATGAACAGGACTTTAAATACTTAGAATTGCATACTTTGGGGCAGATAGCTCAACAGGTTGGGCAGGCGACCCGTGAACAGGGGCTGGAGTCGTGGGTTCCAGTCTGGCCTATGACCATCTACTGCAGGTCCTTCCCCCCATATTTCCACGCTCTCTCCACTTTCAACTATAATAACGGCTAAAATCCCTCTCGCCCCCCAAAAATGCATACTTTTACTAAAATCAAGGCTCTAAATACTGCTGAGGATTCTCCCTATATATTTAATATGCATTATCATAATCTGTAATAAATGATCTTTTCAAAAAGCTTCTCCAAGTTTCTGTGGAATGTGAAATCTAAATCACAACATCCAATATGTGAAATGAAGGTATGTTGACAGCCAAGGTATCACACACTGGTACAGTTTTCCTCCAGAGTCTGTGGTTGCGGTGAAACAGCAGCCCCAGCTGGAGAGCCGGAGTCAGGTTAGTATTTAGGTCAGCAACAAACTCCAACCACACGTTCAGGTTTGTGCTCTGACCTGACTGATGATGCTGTACTCCTGTGGGGGTGCAGTGCAGCTGAATTTGCACAATATAAAGGAACTCCCTCCTGGACTACTCCTTCACTGAACCATGCATGTTTTTTTTCCCGGATATTGAACTGACAATCCAACAGCACGAGATTCTGATCATCTGAGCATCAGGTTTATCATGAATGTTTGCAAGCTGCTCATCACATTAGAATGAGGCTGCTGGTTTATTGCTGTGTTTATTTCCCTCCTCGGCTCCATGTTCAGCACCATGGACAGAGAGCCAAACAGTGATTGGGTCAACAACACAACGTCAAGGATTAGAGTAATCCGCCTATTGGTCTGAATCAAAGTGACAGCAGATTGGAGCGCTGTGATTGGTCGAGGGGGTCAGGATCACCAGGATTTATCGCTGTAGTTCCACTGAGCTGAAGAAAGTCGGATATTCCAACAGTGTGACGGTTTGCTGGCAGATAGCGACTGAATATTATCGACGGGCAGCTCAGCGTCCAGGTGAAGGTCCCGTTGGAGAGCACTTGGAGCGGAGGAGCGGCTGCTCTCTGGAGGAGGAGGAGGTAAGCAGATTATGTTTCCCGTGGGATCCGTAATTCCTGGCCGGCTTCCAGACAACCAAACTGTCCTCACACATGCGTGGCGAATATGTGCGTTTCATCCACTTTGCATGTGATTGCCATCAGCGTGTGCGCCGCGATCGCCCGGGAGTCCCTTAGTGTTTCCTTCACGGGAAATCGGAAGGATTTGAGTCGTTGGGAGTCTTATCAGCAGCAGCAGTGAGACGTGGCCGGAGGGCTCACACGTTAAATCCCCCGGTGCAACGTCTGGACGGCGACGCTGGGCTTATAACAGTCTCTGTTTAACACCTTCCTCCCGTAAATAATGTCAGTTTGGCGGTGCTGTGGTGAGATCCACTCCTTATATGTAAGCTGCAGGCTCTACTAACCTCAAGTTTCTCCTTATTTGACAGACTGAAGAGACTTAAGGAGGAAATCTACAAAGCTACACTGCACCCACATGGCTGGTCAGTAATCAAATAGTCATATACTAAAAAAAAAAACAAGACATATTGAAGTCATATTGACATGTCTACCTGGTGTTAAACTTTTTGTTGCAGAGCCCAATTTCCCCCCGTTGCCAGGCTTCATTCCTCTCAAGCCGTGTTTCTATCAAGACTTCGAGGAGATCCCTGAACAGCACCGCAGCATGTGCAAGAAGATGTACCACCTGTGGATGTGTGAGTGGCTCAAAGCAAAGCTGTACTGAATGTGTAACTTATTTGCCGTTACAGCGAAGCCACACAGAAACCTCGGAGTTCAAATATGAAACACATTTTTACTGCACAAGCTGTCTGACCCTGCAAAAGAACAGCAGCTGAGAAAAAAATATCCTTGAAATTTTTCTACAAGTCCCATAAAGCGTCTTCTCCTCTCTGATCCGTTTGAGATAAGAACTATGTAACAGTAGGGCAGCGGTTTACAAGGCTCCTTTTGGTCTAAAAGATCTTTTTTATTGGCTGTGGCTGTGATATCCTGACTGGTTTATTTGCTAATGACTCATAGCGCTGACCAGATGGCCTTGGTTTGAGCAGAGCAGTTAACACTGAAATTGTGTTAAACAATCTTTGCCAGAAGCAGTTTCATCAAAGTTTATTACACCATAAACACGCAGTACAATGGTGTTTGTGAATCGCTCTGCTCTGATGGCTTCCTGCAGCATAGAGGGCAGGAAGAAGAGCAAAGAAAAAAATTAATGCAACACTGATGCATGTGCAAAAAATGAGCAAACATGAGCAAAAGAGCACCATGGAAATAATGTTAAGGTGATGCTGGTGCACTCATGCAAGGTTGGAACTGATTTTGTCCAAAGAAAGAAAGTTCAGAAGAGCATCTCTACTCCACCAACCTGCCCAGTGCTGACTGTATTTCTGAAGATGATCTCCAAGTGGAATAATTACCACAAATGTTCATCTCTCAGTCTGAACTATCTATAACTGCTGCTAACCTCTTTTCTTTCTGCAGGTGTCTTCTTTTTATTATACGATAAACATAAGCAGGTATTTAAAGTCTCGATCTGCTTCAGTGTGCTCTTATTCTCTTCCACGTTGCTTTTTGTAGTTAAGTGATTTTCAGTTTGTACGTCTTCTTTTATTTTTTTCTCATTTCATTTACCAAAATCATTTGAAGCCAACTGAATTTCTTTCTTTATTTTTTTTTCTGCTATGCATGTGGGAAAGTGTTTACTAAATAGCTTTCATGTTCCAGCTGTGTCTGGCTTCACAATTTTCTTGCAAAGCGCTTCAGAATTTCCCTATAGACGAACATTTGAAAGCGACTGGCCTTCTTTCATAGTTTAAAGACATAAGATGGGACGAGAGCGCCGAGCCCCAATTAGAAACAAGTGTAGTTAATAGAAAACGACTCCAGTTAAAAAGCTATTCAGGGAACACAAACCATCTTTTGAGTCATATTATGTTAATGCCAGCTGTTCTCACAGCCACCTCTTTCTCTTTTTTTCTCTCCAAACTCTTACCACCATATGCATGTGCATGTATCAAGTAGATTTTTTTTCTTCCTTTGGCTCCAATGCCAAAAATATCCCTGTGCTGATTTTACAGTGAACAGCGCTACACTTGCTGTGAATCTCATTGGCTGCTTTGCTTGGATGTTCGGTGGAGGTGGAGTGACCAACTTTGGACTGGCCATCATCTGGCTCATCATGTTCACTCCCTGCTCCTACGTCTGCTGGTTCAGGCCCATCTACAAAGCCTTCAAGTAGGTCCGAGCACTGACATGCAGATTTGTTTTCAGCAGAAGGTAACTTATGATTTGAAATTTTATAGTTGATGTCATAATATCTAAGCAGCACAGAGCAGCATTTTAAAATACAAGACACTAATGGGTACATTTAAATGCTGTTTTTGTGTTTCTATTGCGGTTATTATTGTTATTATTGGATTTGACTTCAGTGCTTGAAGTCCANATTATTGTTATTATTGGATTTGACTTCAGTGCTTGAAGTCCAATCTGGCACATGAGATGACTTTTCTTTTTATTGCCACTTATGACAAGTTTGACCCTCACATCTTTAATCCCCACCTCCTCTGAGGAAAAAAAATGGGCCAATGATGTATCTACATCATGATCACCCTCTCCAGTCTGCAACATTCAATAAATGACATAAGTAGCTGTCCACAGCTATATGCTCATTTCTACATGTTTAACAATATTTAATATTTTTACTGTATCATCATTCAGCTTCCACTTATAGATAAACAGGCTAACAGACACGTATCTGCTCTCAAATCCACTATAATGTGCCGCAAACCCATTATTACCTTTGGCTTATAAATGCTAACCAGACAATTTGCTCATCCAGGTCAATGGTCAATTGCTGATTTTGCTTTAAGCTCGTTTGCCCTCTGTTCTGTGAGAACGTTGAGTGACAGCAGGGATAAATGTGCCACCAGTCCCTCTGGAGATAGAAGGGCACCCAGAACATCCTCTCCGTGCTTTCGCTGAAGGGCAGCGTAATTTTTGAATCCTCTGCTGACTTGGAGATATTGTCTTGCGAGGTGACACACTATAAAGTGGTGCCATGTAGACGCAGACTGAACCGCCGAGAGAAACCTTTGCATAAATTATCCTTTATCTTCTGAGCCTAGGTGTGTTTCCTGAGCGCTTTGCTAGGTCAGGGGAGGCCAGCATGTTGTCTACAGCAGCAGATGCAAAATGCAATGCAAAGTGTAGATGCATATAACATGAAAGGAAGCGTAGCCTGTATAGGTAGGAGCAGCACACGGTGGGAGAGGGATACATTTAGAAAGCAGATGAAAATGCTTATTGCTGTTTTTTTTCCTGTTTTTCTTAGGAGTGACAGCTCCTTCAACTTCATGCTGTTCTTCTTTGTATTCATGGCCCAAGTTGGCATCAGCATCATCCAGAGCATCGGCATCCCGGGATGGGGAGTATGGTAAGAAGCAGATTGGAAACGAGTGGAGCAATAATTCTCTTTCACAATCATCAGAGTCCAATCAGATTCTTTTGCATGCATCAATCTTTCATGCAAAGAACTGATTAAGTCTTTTTTTTTTTTTTTTCAATCTATGTGACTGTTAGAACTTTTGTTACTCCAGAGCTGTTCTACTTGGATTAGGCCGTCCAGCAACACCTCTGCCTTTGTAGTTCAACTTGTCATACCCGCACCTATGAAAACATTTTTGTAATCAAGCATTTCATACCAGAAAGTCTTCGATAAGTCTCGCCTTGCATTGTGACATGCAACCACATGTGGCCCAGAAAACATCACCTGCTGAGTTCTGTTCATATTTCTTGTTGATGTTGCTCAAACGCGGGACTTTTATTGTGGGTGTCAACCTAAAAAATATTTCAACTCACCCTTACAATCAGACACTACTTGATTTAAAGTCATGAGTAAAAGTTGCATACACTATACCAGGGATGTCCAACTCCAGTCCTCGTGAACTACTGTCCTGCAGGTTTGACACGTTTCCATTACTGCAACACACCTGACATTAACAAACTTGTGTAGAACTTGACAACAAGCTGTTCCATGAATTTGAGTCAGGTGTGTTGCAGTATGGAAACATCTAAAACCTGCAGGACAGTAGGAGTTGGAGATCCCAGCACGATGCAGTTCATGGACATTTCTGAGTGATTTGTTTTTTCTTGTGCAACAAAAGCTAACAGTAAAAATCAGAGGTTGTGTTAATGATACTACAAAGTCTTACATTTGAGCCCCTGAAACATTTCGAGCTCAAACAATACATCGCTTGAGAATAAATGTATATTTTAAAGACCTTGTTCACCGCTTTCATTAACGCGACAGTGATGGACCATCAGATATTGCCCTCGTATAACTTTTATGATTGTCCTGTTATTAGATTTTGAGAGGCCGTTAAAGCGATCCTCAAAATGTCACCTGACTCAGGCTGATGATCAGAAATTAATATTATGACAGTCTCCATAAAGTTTATAAATGTCACCATGTGCGGTTGGATATCCTCATGTATGAGCTATAAAACCTTTAAACTTTATCTCACGGCATTTTAAAGTCTTCAGAATCGTTGCCATTTAACATCCAGATGTTCGGTGGTGGTATCATGTGGAAGAACACCTGATAACCCATTACGCACAATTACGGCTCCTGCTGTGCTCAGAGTTTCAGATGATTATTTTTTTCTAAAATCACATTGTGTTAACAGTCATTTCTGTCTTTTTCAGTGGTTGGTTGGCGACCATCTCCTTCTTCAGCTATAATATTTTGATTGCGCTCATCATGCTGGTCCCCACTGTCATGTTCACTGCCGTGGCCTCACTGTCCTTCATTGCCCTCACCAGGGTACGTATTTATCTAATGCATTTCTACATTGGAGTAAAGCAGACGTTGTCGAGTACGAGCTATGTTTCTCATTAAACATAATTTATTAAACAAGTCGAATCAATGTTCTATTATTTTCTGGAGCTACCAGGGTGTTTGTACTGCAGGATTTGAGATTGATTCGTTTTTGCTTGTGTTAACAAAGCACCATTGTTAGGTTCATCACTAAAATGATTAAATCCTTTGAGGTAACCAAAAATGCCCCACAAATTAATATAAAGACGAAATGAGTAGGAAATATTGTATCTAATAATCTATGTGTGTGTGAGTAATTAAAACCGCTTACCTTGCTGATAAAGACTTGTGATCCCACCTCGCCTGCAGATCCATAATTTCTACCGCGGCAGTGGCGCCAGCATGACCAAAGCTCAGGAGGAGTGGACCACAGGAGCCTGGAAGAACCCTCACGTCCAGGCAGCAGCGCAGCAGGCCGCCATGGGGGCAGCAGCCGGAGCCATGCAGGACCAGTACTCCAGCCCGCCGTACAACGACAACCAGATGTAACGAGAAGAGAGATGTCAAAGCAGTGACATGACAGTAATGCCAAAGCTAAAGAAGTTTAAACAGCAGGCGGCAGATTTTAACCATCTCCCATGATGGAGCTGATTATTAAAAAGATTTCTGAGAAAGAAATAAAAAACAAATATATAAATATTTGTTACATTACACGAACAAATAGCTCTGACAATCAGTAGGAAGCAGGGGTTTGCCTTCCTCGATTAAATGGCATTATTGTTATTATTTATACATCATTTAATTTATTTTTTTTTCTGTTTGAAATGAAAGTAGCTTCGAATAAGTATTACTGTAGTGGCTCCATTGTGAGAGCCGTGTGCTAATGTTCTAGCAATTTTTACAAAAGAAAGCAAAAATAACCTGTTTTTCTTCATGTACAGTAACTTTCATTGTAACGACAGATAAAATATTTAGCACAAACTTATTATTTTACCAGTCTACTGTTGTGATGATAAACTGTTTAGGATGTTAGTTTTTTTTTTTCTAGCGTTTTAAACTCAAAGGTGAACCAAAGATCCTGTGTGATTTTTCTAACTTTATTTTAAATGATGCTACTTTTTATGACCTCAGAGAAATTTCATCACATTTCTATGCAGTTTATCACTGATTGCACTGTGAAATGAAAGAATGTTGCAACGTCGAAAGGCAAGTGCATCTGTGTTACAGTAAGACACGGTGTTATTGCAAGTTTTCCTGCTGATTTAAATAGTAAGTGAAAATCTCAGGTTTGAACTTACTCGGCGGTGCCTCTTTGATGCACTTGACGCTTCCTGTTGACACGTCTTCCTTACACTGAAAACATCAGATTTACATCACTAGTTTAATCAGTGCTTCTATTCAATCCAGAAGAAAAAAAAAGAAACAAAGGAAAAAGCAAATCTAACAGCTGATCGGTGTTGTGTAGTCAGCTTCAGTTTGTTTAGCAATGTGAATGTTTTGTATTGAATGTTAACTTAGCATGTCCTCCTTTGTGAAATGTACATTTGGAGGAGAAGCGGCCTCTTGCTGTTTGGCTGTGTGACCACAGAGGGGCGCTGATGGTTTTAGAATGAAATAAAAAAAAAAGCTCCAACATGTACAGATTACCTTCATTCATCCTTCACAGATTCACATTTATATCATTGGGTTGTTTGGTCACGTGTGCTCTGTTTTAGCTGCATCACGTTAACACAACTCCACCTAAGATCGTGTAGAGTGGCGGTCTAAGTGTGGCATGTACACCTGTTGGGTACTAAGCAGGAGGACATGGGGGTGTAAAGCACACAAGCATCCCAAGGACAGTGGTTGGTAAATGGCACATTGTCGCTCACTCACTCCTCCTACCGAGCTGGAGTTTCCAATGAAGCTCCTTCTAGTTTATCTCTGACCCCATGTTCAGGGAGGAATTGTCTTTTTGTTCAAAGAAAGCAGCGTGAACCCTCAGCAGATTTAAGGTGTCATGATTGTCAAATACACACCACATCTTTTCATTTATGTCACCAATAGAAACACTTGTTACAGGACGAAGGTACTTTATGTACAGAATACTTCACTTCGCCTGAGATCGAGAACTTAAATGCATGAAAAATGATTTTTTGTTAAAGTCAAATATTAAGACAGGCTGCTAAGTTTTGCTTCCACACATTTGTCATGTTATTATTCTGCAGTTACTCAAGGAGGCTGCTTTGCACAGAGCCTATTTGTTTCATGTTTGAGTGTTTTGTTATATTTGCCCCATTTAGTCAAGACATTGTACTCAATCATTAAAATGTGATTTTAAATTGTTTCCAATACATTACACACAGCAAATGGTACCGCAGCCACATTTAAACACTGTTAAAATGGGGAAATTAGAAACAGGAGGGGCATTCTTGGCCTGTAGGTGGCAGTGTTGGCCCTCTGTGCTCGTCTAACAGTCGCACCGACCGTCCACCAGGGGCACTACGGGGTCTTTGTTTTTCCTCCCAGTAATGTATTCAGAAAGTCTGTACAAGAACACAAGAAATCTGAGATAGTTAGGGTGATTGATAGTGCTTGCCTACACCAAAAGCTGTATTTTTTTCTGTAAACGTACATGCAGCAAACACAATTTCTCCCTTGACATCCTGTGAGCAGGAGACCATCATAGATTAGATTCAAAATACACTTTAAATGGATTTATCTGTGGATGTTCTTGTCCCTACTGTCTGCCTCTCCCTGGGTTGTAGGAGTGATAGAATTACTCTGTGGAGTAGGGGGGGATGAAATTATACAGCGATATAGATGCCCAGAGGACCCACCGGCAGCCACCAACAAACACTGTAATTGCCATACGCATTGAAATCTCTTGTGACAAGTAGTGACAGCACAGACTTGCGCCTTCAAGTAAACAGGACCGGTTGTCAGCTACGGAATATAGTCATTGATTCATAACAAATCAAAGCTGAACAGATGTAGCACTTTTGTAAATTCTATTCTGCCCACATGTAAAACAGTGGTGGGAAAAAAAAACACATCCAGCTGCAGCTTCTCATTATTTTATTCTGCCTAGTAAAAAAAAAACAACACAGATCTGACCTGATTGCAAACTGTATCTTAACTCGACTTAACAGCGAGCTACGGTGCACTAAAGCCGTGTCACAGCAACAGGGCCAGAGTTTGTGATTCCCACAGAAGCCGAGGTAATCTTTAGCAGGATCCCGTATAGCCCCTATGCTGCAGTCGCTGTTTGTGACACTGTTGTGAAAGAAAACGAAGGGAGCATTTGGTCTCGTCACACTCGGTCCTTGTATTCCACTATGTTTCCCAACACGCTGTATTTACGTAGAAAAGGTTTGCTGCAATCGTGCATTAGAGTCATTTACATATGCAGAAACAAGACGTAAACACATCGCTGCCATGTTATCACCTTTCAACCTGCTTGTTACACATCCGGCAGAGAAAAAAACAAGATTAATTTGAAGCCCTGTTTCCATCTACCTGATTATGTAAATCCAGCATTCACTCTCCTTTTAACGTTCCAACTCCGCTAACTGGGAAATATCTGGATGTTTAGCTGATAAATGCTCCAACAGCCAGTCTCTGACTGGGTCTGTGGGGCTGTTTGGGTCGGTTAACCTCCTGTAAATTCTTAGAGCTTTTCCACAGAAAATAAATTTCTGCTATATCTGGAGATTACCCAAACCAGTAAAGTTGTGGGCCTGTGTAAAACTATGGCAGCTTTTGGTCCTCTATAGAGGACAATGTGGTGGATTTTGAAATTGTTTGAGTGCTTCAGCTTTATTACAAATTTTAGTTTTGATGTAGAGAATCCTGACTTTTTGTGAAGCTGATGCTGCTCCTTTGGAACGGTGCTAAATAAGTGCAACCTCTTCTTCCTCTTTCTCTTGTTCTTCATGTTCCTCTTCTTCTACTTTTACTTCTTCTTCTTCTTCTTCTTATTATTATTACTGCGCTTACACCAAAGCTCTCCTGATTTCCTCTTCCTCGTGGTCGGTCATACCAACAGCAGAGATCTGAGGAGTTGTCGTAAGGAACAACGTAAGGTGCACATAAAGGCCACAGTGTGACCTAAAGTTGACGGAGCACAGTGGGCCTTTGTGTTTATTTCTCAGGAAAGATGGAGATAGAGTGCCCTTTCATGCTGTTAAAACACACACACACACACACACACACACACACACAGGTTTGGACAAAGGTGTACAGACATGGAGTCATGCGAACACACAAGCATGCTTTTTATGTTTGTGTATCACATGGAGCAGGGGTCCCAACACCCAGCACATTTCCTATAACTGTTCTCTGAGGGTCACAGACCTGCCCAGACATCCTGTGGGTAACATGTAACAGAACTGAGCCCAGTCCAGAAATAAGCCTAGCTAGAGTGAAACGTAGCTCACGGTCAGAATTCAAAACCAGTGTTTACTAAATGACCTAAGGAAAGAGTCAGCAGTCAGTGCGTGGGTGTGAGTCGTCTGAACCTGCCACAGTGAATGTGCCTCTGCAGTCTGCAAACCGGGTTGTTAATGACCAAAAAAAAATGAATAAAAAGCAAAAACTAGAAGATAGTAATTACGTTGATAATTATTAGCAAAATCGCCCATTTGCATCTGTGTAAAGTGGTTACTGTTAATGTCTGCCCTCGGAGCCGGTGACCCCAGTAGAAACCCTCTGGCTTTGTGCAATAACTGATGCCTCTGCAAGATATCATTAGTCACATTACAGCGACTAAAATCAAAGGATTTCGCTGAGATCATCAAAGGTTGTGACGGCTTGAAATAGGAATCATAGGAAATTTCTTTGAGGGAAAATAGGGAGGAAAGTTGAAAAGTTGAATGTAGAAAAGATGCTGATGATTGCCCTTCACAGCTTTAAAATCACAAAAATGTAAAGTTTGTCGTGTAGTTTGCTTTGAATGGTGATTTACTGTACAAAATATTTGGGCTATATATCAACATAACTCATGGTAGCGTTTAGTCACAGATATTTCTGCTGACTATGTTAAATGCATGATTACATTTAAACACACAATATTCACATTTGTTTACTTTAAAAAAAAAAAGATTTTGAGAAATACATTTGCTTGTTACATCTGACTGCTAAATGTTTCCATTGCTAGCAGCCGGTCAGCTGGTTACTAAGTAACTAAGCCAGCTGCAGAATGGTCTGGCTGCACCCCAGTATTATTCTGCTATAGAGGGAAAAGCCACTCTGGCTTGTTTGTATTTCTTTAAACCAACAAAAATGCATTGGCAGAGCGAAGTGATGGATATGAAAATGATGTATGACAATGTATGACTGTCTAAAGTGACTAATTCGCTGAAAAAATCTGTCAAGGCAGCCTTTCTGCACCATCGAAATCCTTTGCAAAACCAAAGTGAAGGAATAAAAAGCAACAAGCAGACAGCGGAAGGAGAGGAGAAAATTGCAGAAACTTCCAATGGCAAACTGTAATCTACAGTCGGACTACTAAGTATCTGCTCCCAAATGAAAAACAGTCTGGATTTGTTACCTTTGGACAAAGGGGGACA